GCATGCAAACGCATGCATGCAAACGCATGCATGCGTTTGGTTGCATGCAGCAATATGACCTTTTCCGAGAAGAGCTGCGGAGAGACCCGAGGGGGCTGGTCTCTGAAGAATATTTATTTCAAGTTTTGCATGTGCAGCAAACGCCGGGCTGGGAGCACTACTATATTTACCCGTGCGCACTTGCTGCTGCTGCTGCTGCTGCTGCTGCTGCTGCTGCTGCTGCTGCTGCTGCTGCTGCTGCTTGGGGCTTTTGGAGCTTGTTGTTTTAAAGCATTTTCTAATTGCATGTGGGGTCTTTTGTGTAAAAAGGAAGAACTGAAGTAAACTGACAGATGAATAAATTAAAAAATAAATGGATAAATACATTAATAAATAAATAGATAAATAAATAACTGAATAAAAGATAAGTAAATGAATTAATAAATTAAATAAATAAATAAATTAATAAATAAGCAAAGCGGCCTTTTGCTTCTTTTCCGGCCGAAAGATCTTTTTTCATTTCTTTCTTTTTTGAATTTCGCAAAAATCATTTTTGTTTTAATTTCTCCAAAAATTAATTCTTTTGGGGGCTTTTTTGTTCCTCTTTTTGCGCCTTTTTTCCCTTTTTGTGTCCTTTTTTACATCCTTTTTATTTCTTTTTTATTTCCTTTTTTACATCCTTTTCATTTCTTTTTTATTTTCTTTTTATTTTCTTTCTGTCTTTTATATCTCTTATTTTCCTTTTTGTTTTTTTTTATCTTTTTGCTGTTTCTTTTTTTCTCACTTTTTCTCCTTTTCTACTTTTGTCTCTCTAAACCTCTTTTAATCTTTTTAAATTCCTTTTATTTCCTTTATTTCCTTTATTTCTTTCTATTTCTTTTATTTCTTTTATTTCTTTTTTCGTTTTTATTTCTTTTTATTTTTGTCTTTGTTTTTATTTCCTCTCATTGCTTTTGATTCCTTTTACTCCTCATTTCTTTTAATATCATCTTATATCTCCTTCCACCTTTTTATTTCTTTGTTTCTTTTATTTCTTTTATTTCATTTACTTCTTTCATTTCTTTTATTTCTTTTATTTCTTTTATTTCTTTTATTTCTTTCACTTCTTTTATTTCTTTTATTTTTTTAATTTCTTTTATTTGTTTTATTTGTTTTATTTGTTTTATTCCTTTAATTTCTTTAATTTCTTTTATTTCTTTTATTTATTTCATTTAATTTTCTCCAAAAGTGTTTTATTTTTTGCAGAATGAATCCCCACGTTTTGTGTCTCCGGCGGCTGAGAGCCGCAGCGCCGAAGCCCCGCCCGCAGCCCCAGTGCCCCTCCAACCCCGTACACGGATAAACTGCATGCAAGGTCCCTGTGTCTTGTGTTGCTCGTGCATGCGGCCTTCTGCATGCGGCCTTTTTCGTTGTCCATGCATGCATGCATCTTTGTGTGTTTCTGCTTATGCATTCGTGCATGCGTCTTTCGTCGTTTGCTTTTGTCCATGCATGCGTGCATGCATGCATGCATGCATGCATGCATGCATGCACGTGTGTATGCATGCATGCATGCATGCATGCATGTGTGCATGTATGCATGCGGCTTTGTCTCTGTCCGCTGTTTACACGCATGCATGCATGCGCATAGTGTCTGCTGATCAGTATGCATGCGTTTGCATGCATGCATGCAAACGCATGCATGCATGCAAACGCATGCATGCATGCAAACGCATGCATGCATGCAAACGCATGCATGCATGCAAACACATGCATGCATGCGCTGGTTTTTTGTCGCCAGTTGTTATTTTTGCATGCATGCGCATTAGTCCAGCCCCAAAGTTTGTGTGGCAGTGGGGCCTTTAATGTCCTTTTTGTTTCTTTTTTTTCTTTTTAGTTTCCATTTATTTTGTCCCTGTGGGGCCCCACAAATGGGCTGTTTTATTTATTCTGCATTTCTCTTTTGCATGCAAAGCCACGGGGCTTTTTGAGGTGTACGTACACCCCAACGCCTCAGCCTCGCAGAGGATCTTCTCGACGCATGCAGCGGAAAGGAAAGAATGCGAAAAAGCGAAAATAAATAAAATAGAAATAAATAATTAAAATGAATAAAATAAAAATGAATTAAAAATGCAAATAAGGCCTCAAATGGTACTTTCTGTGCCTGCGATTTCTTATGGCCTTTCCACAATTGACAGATTTATTTCAATTCAATCTTTTTTTCTTTTTTGCTTTTTTCATTTTCAAGAAACTCAACTTCTGTCCACTCTTCGTTCAAAAAGCCCCGATAAACTCCAGAAAGCCATGCATGCATGCATGCATGCATGACCCTCTGCATGCATGCATGCATGCATGCATGCATGCATGCATGCGTGGGCCTTTGCATGCATGCATGCATGCAAAGGCCCAAAGCCCCGGCGCTTTTTAACTATGGGCAGCAGCGCCCCTTTTGCTTTATTTTCTGGTGCGCCGCTGCATGCGCATTTATTGACTTTTCGAAATAAATAAATAAATAAATAAATGAAATACATAAATAAATGATAAAATAAAAAATTAAATAATAAATGATAAATAAATAAATAAATTAATTAATTGATTAAAAATATATTTTGCTTCAAATGCATTTCAATAAGTTCCTCTCCAGCTTTATAAAGATGCTAATAAATAGATCTTCTTATCCGCAAATTTGCATGCAAATAAAAAGCCCTTTTGGCTTTTTAAATGAAATAATTTAAAGCTGAAAAAGGGTCTCGAGTGCAGCCTAAAGAAGTGCCTTTGAGAGCAGCAGCAGGCAGCAGCAGCAAGCAGCAGCAGCAGCAGCAGCAGCAGCAGCAGGGTGCAGCAGCAAGCTGCAGCAGCAAGCTGCAGCAGCAGGCAGCAGCAGCGGCGTTCAGCAGCAAGGCTGCCGCAGCTCGCTTTGGCAAAAGGAGAAAAGGAAAGCCTTATTAAAGGACTGAATTCGAAATCACATTTTCTAAAAACCCTTTTTGCTGCTGCTGCTGCTGCTGCTGCTGCTGCTGCTGCTGTTGCTGCTGCTGCTGCTGCTGGGGGCCCTGCGGTAATAAGCCACAAACCGCCGCTCCTCCACGTCAATATAGCGGTTTCCAGGGCCCCCACGGGTGACCCTTTGGGGTCTGTTGCTGCTCTCCCGCTGCTGCTGCTGCTGCTGCTGCTGCTGCTGCTGCTGCTGCTGCTGCAGGGGGCCGGGCCCGGTGGCTGTGGGGCTGGCAGCAGCAGCGGGGATCGTGTGCGCCGCTGGGATCGTGTCAGTGTCTGGGATCGAGTCTGCATCTGGGATCGAGTTGTGGGGTGAAGTTGCTGCTTCTGAAGAGTCTGTGGAGCTGAGGGTTGGCTGCCACCTGTCTGCTCCTGCGCTGCTGCTTCTTCTGCTGCTGCTGCTGCTGCTGCTGCTCTCTGTTTGCTGCTGCGTCTCCGCAGCAGCAGCAGCAACAGCAGGGCTGGGGCGGCTTGTGGGCCTGTCGCTGTTGCTGGGGGAGAAGGGGGAGCCGGGCTGCTGCTGCTGCTGGGGAGCAGCAGCAGCAGCAGCTGGTTCTGCTGCTGCTGCTGCTGCTGCTGCTGACGTCTGCCGCATAAAGCCCTCTTTTATTTGCTTCACCAAGGACAAAGGATTCGGCAAAGAAGGCAGCATGTCTAAAAGGTCCCCTCCAACTGTGCTGCTGCTGCTGCTGCTGCTGATGCTGCTGCTGCTGCGGCTGTAGCCCCGGTGAGTTGCTGCTGCTGCTGCTGGCGCCAAGTCGCGGATGTTCAGCGCCACAGGGCTGCAGCAAAGCCACAAACACACGCAGCAGCAGCAGCAGTAACAACAGCAGCAGCAGCAGCAGCAGCAGCAGCAGCAGCAGAGCAGCAGCAGCAGCAGCAGCAGCAGCAGCAGAGCAGCAGCAGCAGAGCAGCAGCAGCAGCAGCAGGTCAAGTCTAGTGTCTAGATCTGCAAGAGCAAGCTGATGCAGCCACTGCAAAGAAAAACGGGAGAAAGTAAAAAAATAAAAAGGAGACAAAAAGACAAAAAGGTATTAAATTAAAAAAAGGATGAAAATGAAAAAAGATTAAAATAAAAATAAAAATAAAAGACAAAGATTAAAAGTGAGATAAAAATAAAAAAGAAGATAAAAAAGAAGATAAAAACAAAAAAGAAGACAAAACAAAAAAGGAGATAAAAGTGAAAAAGGAAAAGTCAAGAAAGGCTGCTAAGAGGAGACAGTTGGAGAAAAAGAAATAAAAAATATAAAAAAGAAAAACAACAAAAAGAAGTCAAAAAAAGAAAAGATAAAAAGAAGATAAGACAAAAGAAGATAAAAGGGAAAAGAAAACACAGGAAAAAATAAGGTAAAAGAAAGAAAAAGAAAAAGAAAAAAACAAAAGCAAAAACAAAAGAAAAAGAAGAGAAAAAGAAAAGAAAAAGAAAGAAGAAGAAAAGAAAAAGAACAGAAACGAGAAGAAACACGAAGAAAAAGAAAACAAAGAAGAAAACAAAATAAAATGAAAAAATAAAACAAAAGAAAACAAAAGGAAAAGAAAACAAAAGAGAAAATAAAGTAAAAAGAAGAAAAAGAAAGTAAAATAAAAGAAAATAAAAGAAAATAAAACGAAATAAAATAAAATAAAAACAAAATAAAATAAAACAAATAAAAGACTCGCCGGTACAAAGCCACTTGTCGAGTGCTTCTTCTCGGCGCTCCAAATCGCGCAGAAAAAACTTTCGCAGGCCTGCAGCGCCAGGTGTACGTACACCCCAAATTACCACAAACTCAGGTGTACGTACACCCCAAATTACCACAAACTCAGGTGTACGTACACCCCAAATAACCACAAACTCAGGTGTACGTACACCCCAAATAACCCACAAACTCAGGTGTACGTACATCCCAGATAGCTCTCTATGTCAGGTGTACGTACACCCCAAGTAACCGCAAACCCCAGGTGTACGTACACCCCAAATAACCCACAAACCCCCCCTTAAATGGTTAATTTCAAATAAATTGAACTAAATTAAATTAAATTAAATTAAACTGAATGAAATTGAACGAAAATGTAATCAACTGAATAAAACTGAAATAAATTGAATGAGGCTGAAATGAATTGAATGAAATTGAAATAAATTGAAATAAATTGAAATAAATTAAATTAAATTGAAATAAAATAAAATAAATTAAATTAAATTAAATTAAATTAAATTGAAATAAGTTAAATTTAATTAAATTAAATTAAATTAAAGTTCTGTTTTTGTTTCCCACCTGCTGCTCAAAGGAGAAAGCTGCAGCTGTGGGGCCCCGGGGGCTGTGGGGCTTTGGGG